GGTGTGAAGCCAAAGGAGAAAGAGAGAGAGAGAGAGGGATTTCCTCCATATTCCATCTTAAATATTTCACAAACTTTTCCCCCTGGAGAAGGTAGATATCAGAAGCATGTCTGCAAGTGCTTTCTTGAGCATATGCCTGTGCATGGGCACAAACACACACACAGTGTCTGCCATATATGAACAGAGATAACAGCAGACACACACCTGCAGCTATCTATTCTTAAATAATTGTGTGGCATGGCCCTGAGTTTACTTAGCAGGGGAACCCAAACACACACAGCAGACTCAGACACCCCGCTGGATATTTCTTTGTTTGTTTTTGTTATTGTTTTTTTGTTAGTGATAAAACAGTGGCAGGGGTTAGTTTTGTTTTTTAGTGAATCTTTCTGCAAGTTACACTCTTACGCCAGTAGGTGGCGAAAACTGACCATCTTTATGAGTAAGCCATTTTAATTGTTCAATGAAGGGATTGAAACAAAAATGCTGATTCATTGAGGAACAAAACCATTGACTGTCCTTAAAAGCGAGTCATTGAATCATTCATGTAGTCAATTTGTTCAAAACACAGATTCAATAAAGTGATAGTTCACCCACAAATAACAATTCTCGTATTAATTACTCACCCTCATGTCGTTCCAAACACAAAAGACCTTTTTTCATCTTCAGAACACAAATTAAGATATTTATGATGAAACTTGAGAGCTTTCTGTCCCTGCATAGACAGCAAGGGAACTACCACATTCAAGGCACAGAAAGGTAGTAAGGTCATTTTTGGGTGAACTATCCCTTTAACAAACAAAACAAGTGACAATTTTTATAGCTGCATCACATGAGTAGGTATACATCATGACCATTAAAGGAGTATGTTCCATATTGTGCAAATGTGTATATGTGCTGTCTGTTTTATGAAACTATGAATTGAGAAATACTTTTTCACGTACTGTTTTTTGAGGCAATGAATCATTCACTCAACTGATTTGTTCAAAAACATTGATTTCTTTAGGAATGGAACAAGTGACTGTCTTTATGAGTGAAATATTTGTATATTTAAATGTTTTTCCTATTTTTTCATACAAGTTTTGATTGATAATTTACTTACATTTTACTTAATTTTATTTTTTAACTAAAATTACTTAAAGGGATAGTTCACCCAAAAATGAAAATTATATCATTAATTACTGACCCTCATGTCGTTCCAAACCCGTAAGACCTTTGTTCATCTACGAAACACAAATTAAGCTTTCTGGCCCTCGTTAATGGCATCAGACAGTGACACAGAAGAGAAGAAATTGTTGAATAAAGTCGTTTTTTTTTTTGCACACAAAAAGTATTTGCATAGCTTCATAAAATTACGGTTGAACCACTGATGTCACATGGACTATTTTAATTATGTCCTTACTATGTTTCTGTGCCTTGACCGTGGTAATTCCCTTGCTGTCTATGGAGGGTCAGAAAGCTCTCAAGTTTCATTAAATAATATCTTAATTTGTGTTTGGAAGATGAACAAAGGTCTTATGGGTTTGGAACGACATTATGGCATGTAATTAATGACAGAATTTTCATTTTTGGGTGAACTATCTCTTTACTTGTTTTTTTATCATGTACTCACCTTCACAACATTCTAAACCCGTAAGATTTTTTTCCTCCTGTCCTGGTTGCTCTTTTCCATATAATGAATGGGGAGAGTTGCTTTTGAGCTCTAAAAAGAACTTTAAAAATTTGTTAAAAGTAGTCTGTATGACTCATGTACTATATTCAAGGCTTCTAAAGTCACGGGACAGCTTTGTGTGAGGAGCAGACTGAAATTTAGTCTACGACTGTGACTAGACAGTGCATTAAAACCATAAGCATACACACACATTACCAACACGACGACGGTACAGAATTGAGATATATTTGATGGCATTTTATTGTCTCATGACCAATTTAGTGAGACATACACACACAGATATCCCAGCAGAACTGGCCTTGTTCCACGCATGTGCCGGAAAAATCACGAGAATCTCATTAATTAGCTCTTCGAGACAAAACACTGTTAAATGATTTATTTGTTCCACTATTTGTGAGTAAATGGCTTAATTAAAATACACTAGAGCAGACAGAGGAAGAACACACACAGTGGGGGACGGCAGTGGGCCAAAGCTACCGCACACAAACACACACATCATTATAAACACACTGTGCATATAAACCAGCCCTGCCTCGTTTTTTCTTCATCACAGACACTCAGAGATGACTGATGTATTAGCTAATAAACAGTGGTTCTCTTAACAGGTAGTAAACAGAAGAGCAGATTAGAGCGTCTCCTAACAATCCAGCCTCTTACATCAGCCGAGTGCATAAAGAGCTCTGATGATTGCAGGGTAAACAACCAGCCATTACACTCGCTGTATCAGAACATTCTCTGCTGAAAAGATCTGCTTACATTAGTGCACATTCTCAGGCTAGTTTATGATGGTTAGTGCTCAATTCAGATTGACCTAAAATGTAACCACAAAAAAAGAATAATAATTGTATTTATGCATATTATATGTATATATATATATATATATATATATATATATATATATATATATAATGTGTGTGTGTGTGTGTGTGTGTGTGCATTTGAAACTGTAGAATAGATCAATATAAATGTTTTTCACACCACTGTATATATATATATGTGTGTGTGTGTGTGTGTATATATATATTGTATATGTGTGTGTGTGTGTGACTGTGTGCGTGTGACTGTTGCCAGATGTTTCATGTCTCTCATTTCACTCTGTGCTCTTTTTCTTCATACATAATAGCATCAATTAAACTCAAATTAATATTTAATGTCCATTTATGTTTTTTTTTTTTTTTTTGGTGCAGGGAATTAAGCGGGATGTACGATCAGTCAGTCATTATCACAAAATAAAAAAAGTCCAGAACAACTTGCAGAAAAAAGTCAAACTGGGCTTCTATTCAGGAATTTAATACAAGCTCTCTATGCCATTTTTATTTATTTGTGAAAATGCACTCTGTTTGGATACTCAAAGATGATGCATGTTGAAAAAAATAACTGAAATTGAATTCAGGTCAAAGAAAGATTGGCTCTTAATTTTCAGAGTGCTTTGAGAGGGGTGCCAAGACAGAAAGATGTATGGTAGCAGTGTTTACTCCACTGGCTCTCCGGTAAATAAACACACCTCCTGCTAAATGGAGATAGAGATGCTTTCATACAAGTGTGTTTACACTCCCGTTGGAGGTTTCACTCAGGGCCAGGCGGCGTGGACTTGTTCTGCTGGGCTGATGGAGAACATTGGGTTCTTTCAGCGTTGTAACGGTTCTACCTACACGTGGATAACCTGGAGCCAAGCAAAATGAGGGGTCTTATAGTAAAACTGAGGCTCAAATGATATCCAGTAAGAAGCACACACACAGTGCTAACACTTAGACCAGAAGCCAAACATTTTTATGTGTCAATGAGAAGTTCATCGACATGGCAGAGATGTTGACAAGTAGAATATACAAAGCTGGAGATTGATATAAACAGCTTCTCAAGAACTAACCACAAAGTTTAGAAGTGCTACACCTGCATGGAATTTTCAATCACAGAGTTTGTTATTTTAGTATTATTTATATACTATTATAGTATTTTGAATTAGTTTTTATATTTTTTATTTCATTTTATTTTAAGCAATTTTATTGTGTGCTTTTGTCAACTTTTTTTATTTCTAGTGATTTTTTAACTAATATTTATATTTTATCTCAGCTTCATTTCAATTACCAAAAACAATTTTAGTAGTTTTAGATTTATTTGTAGTTAACAATAACAAAACTAACAATGATGTCCAAAGTTACTTTGCAAGGCCCTTGAGGAACAGTTTAAATTATTTTTTTTTATTTTTTTTACTTTCCCTGTGACTTTCAGCAGACAATTAATATTGAATATGTCAGGCTGCATCAATAAAATGTTTTTCTGTTCAGGGCAGATGGCAGCTCAGCACTTGCTGTGCTGACAGAACATCTATCTGGGATCATATCTGTTGTACAATACCCAATTTCCATACTCATTAACACACTGGGTCAACCGCAGTTTTTTCCCACCTTCACCCTCACTTATCATCCAGCGGTGGCAATCACACAAAGCTTCTGGATTCAGCCTATTCTTAGAAACCATAAATGGTTGCCAGGGACAACAGCTTGAGGCAAAAACGATGGCTTGCTTGGATCAAAACACCCTTTTAGCATGGCTGCATTTTGAGTAGTGCCAGTGTGGCTCTCAAAGAGCCTCTCTTTAAACAGCCTTTGAACGGTTGTTCTTTGCACTGGGTAATGGGTTTCCTTAATGTTGGTGTTTTTTCATTTTACTTTCGGCTTCTTTGACACTTTATTGATAGCACAGAGAGTAAAGAAACAGGAAATGACTGAGGAACTCATGTCACTTATATGATCACCACAAATCAACATGTTAGAGCATGTTCACTAACCGCCTTTATTATATATATATGTCGGTCTGTAATGTTTTTTTAAAGAAATTCATATTTTTTAATCATCATGGATGCTTTAAATTGATCAAAAGTGACAATAAAGAATTGGTTTGTTAATAAATGCTGTTCTTTTGAACTTTATGTTTATCAAACAATCCTGAAAAAATGTATCACAGGTTACACAAAAATAAGCAACACACCTGTTTTTAACATAACATAACATCTTGAGAACCAAACTACAGTTTAAAATACATTACAATAGAAAAATTTTAAATTGAAATAATATTTCAGTATTTCATTAATGTTCTTACTCTGTTTTTGATCAAATAAATGCAGCCTTGGTGAGCATAAAAAACTCTTTTCTGAAACATAAAAAAATTCTCACTGACCCCAAACTTCTGGATGTTAGTGTATCCCTACTTTTGTTACTTTTTGGATCAGTTCACATAAAATCTGGATTCTGTAGCAAATCCTGAGCACTAGGCCATGACTGGGTTTGCCATATTTTAACCGAATTTTATTTGTTTCTATTTTCCTTCCTAGATTTGACTATCAAGAGCTGCTCCACAACTCCACCTTCTGTCTTGTTCCCCGCGGTCGGCGCTTGGGGTCGTTCCGTTTCCTGGAGTCTTTGCAGGTAAAACATTTTTCAATTGACCCTGAAAACTAAATACAGCCAAGTATGCTTCAACAAGCCTTTTAGAGATGCAAGAAAGGTTTGGTAGATTATGAAAACAGTCAGGTCTCGGAGTCTCCCAGATAAACAGCACACTGCCCAGGCACATATATTCTTGGCGTCCTGGTGGTGTGTGTGAACGGGCCGGAAGCTCACGGAGGGTGTCCTCGCTTCGACTCTGCCGAGCCGTGCTGAATGGATAAATCCACAGAACGGTGGGTTTGGCAGCCAGCTCGGCCCTCACACTGATTCCTCGGCACTCCCTCGCTCTACTCCTCTGTCTTTTTCTCCCTCTGTGCTTTTCCATATAAGCCCCTGTCTGAGTTCCATAGATCTCTTTTCTTTGGAGGCAGCCAAAGCCACAGAAAGAACTGGCAATTACTAGCACTGCTGAAAGTTCTACAACAGAGGTTCTCAAACATTTCAGGCCAAGTAGCACCTAGTCAGGGGTAAGACTGGTATTTTAGAGGTGGCCGGCACTAAACATTTTCAAGGTCATCAAAGGTGGCAGACCGTTACAGCCCTGTTATACTTCTTCATGTTCCTTTTACATTTTTTCAGCAGTGGGTACATTGACATCTCTGGGCGCAAGCCTACAGACTGTGTGAGTGACATAATGCCATCTTTTGATTAATATCCATATTCCTATAATTAAAGGGGTCATATGATGCGATTTCAATTTTTCCTTTATCTTTGGAGTGTTACAAGCTCTTGGTGCATAAAGAAGATCTGTAAAGTTGCAAAGACTAAAGTCTCAAATCCAAAGAGATATTCTTTATAAATTTCAGAATCAGCCACACCTACCTAAAATGGCTCGTTCTAACACGCCCCAACATACCTACGTCACTATGTGGGAAGATTTGCATAACGCCGCCCAAATGTTCACGCAAAGAAAGATGGCGTAACTTTTATTCTCGCTGTAGTATTGTTGACGCTGCAGCCATGTCGTGAAGACGCTGATGTGGTTGCTGCTCATTCGTCGGATCCGCCGGGCGCGCCGTTCTCTGAAATGAGAGGCCTCAGCTCACTCTAGCCCGGCCTCAGCTCACTCTATCGCGGCCTCAGCGCACGCTAAGCCGGGGCTTCGCTGTGCTAGGCCACTGTGTTTTTCGTTGTGAAAGCGAAACTACTTTGTTTGGTCTTCCAAAAGAGGACGATATCCGCTTCGTCATGCCTAGAGCTGATCTGTGCTGGTCGCTGAGGGAATACATCAACTTTCACCGTGGACGAAGCGGAGTCCAGCCCGGGGTCGTCACATGTGGTTGCTGCTCATTCGTCGGATCCGCCGGGCGCGCCGTTCTCTGAAATGAGAGGCCTCAGCTCACTCTAGCCCGGCCTCAGCTCACTCTATCGCGGCCTCAGCGCACGCTAAGCCGGGGCTTCGCTGTGCTAGGCCACTGTGTTTTTCGTTGTGAAAGCGAAACTACTTTGTTTGGTTTTCCAAAATAGGACAAGGCTACAAATCAGTGGTTAAGTTGTATTTACAACACTGTTCCAGAACAGTTTAACCCAAATATCCAGATGTGTGCAGCACATTTTATGGAGGACCGTTTACTGATCCTGGGAGAGTAGACTACAATGCCCCGGCTGTTCTGGCTCACAGTCTGTAAGTACGTTTTCATTTAAAGGATTTGCCACTGATGATTCAAACGCGAGTTTTGGGCAGTAGAGTAGTACTTGCTGTTTGTCATTTCTCTGAGAATGTACAGTATGTGGAAAATAATGTGGTTTTTTTACTTTAAACCGCATAAACGCATTTCATTACACCAAATACACAAAATAATGTTCTTTTTAGCAGCATCATATGATCCCTTTAAGATAAATCATGCTGATGTCTCATCAATCCCTTAACTGGCCATTTTGCAGATTTATGGATGGATGCTACTAAAACAGCATCTAAAAGACACCTTCTGAAAGGATTTCAATGAAATATCATGTTGTTATGCCAGCGTTGCAGCCCAGTTTAAAACATTAATACTATATTTTGGAATCCTGTCTAGTCCGACAAGAAGATCTCAAAACACACATTATCGATACTGGATTTAAAATTGAGGGATAGGATATATATAGGATAAAATTCAATTAAATAAACACAAATTAATATAGTACATTATCCTAACTGTAGGCTATTTATGGATTCTAAGCAATGTAGCAACTACAATACAATTAAAATATCAATAAATAATCAAATAAATAAAAAATAAATAAAAAGTCAATTATCCTAACTATAGGCTATTTATGGTTTCTAAGCAATGTGGCAACTAAAACACAATTAAACAATCAAAAACAAAGAATAAAAAAAAATTAAAAAAATGTACAGTCACAGGTGTGTTAAATGAGTTACATTTATTATTAATATTGATCAGATTGAACACGAATTACTAGGCTAGAGTTCATCATACTAACTGTAGACTGTTTATGGTTTTAACATGGCAATTAAAAATACTAATAAAATTAAAATGTGTGGTCACAGGTTTGAATTTTACAGTGGCTTCAAACGTGGCCCATCCAATTAACAACAGAACAATCTGTTTTATGAATGTATATGGATCATAACTACAGCCATTTCAATTAAAAACCTCTGTACTAAAAATTAGTACTGCAAAAATCCACATGCCACAGCATGAGAACTGCTGTTCTAGAACATTCTCTGACCCCTATCATCCAGATGCTGCTTTTTTCCTCTCTAATCTCACAACCTCTCTCTGATGCTGATTCCTCGACACACTCCTTTTAGAAAAATGGCTGTGCAAGCAACCACAGAATGGATCAGTGCCAAGAGGGATCTGTGCTAGTCGAGCGGCCCTAGAGCTATCATCCCAGAGCATGAAACAAAGGCCAGCTCCTGGATCTCTGTGGGCTTAGTAGGCCAAGGTAGCAATCAGTCACCTGAAGCAATTTGTTGCTGTCCGCCCCTGTGTCCTCTAACGCTGTTTAGGATGAAAGCATGGCTGCACACAGCTAGAGGGGGTGTGTTTGATGTTGGCCCGTTCTTAGGATTGCACTCTCTTGTGATTTAATTAAAAATCTCACTGTAGAGCAGAATACGAGCTGAATGACGAAAAGAAGAAGAAAAAAGGCAAACAAGGAATCTGGGAGGAAAAGTAGAGCAACATCAAGATGGAATAGTAAACAAGAGGGAAGGCGAGCAACTCCACTTCAATAAATCATGGACCCCTGTTTCTCTCCTACCTCACCCTCCTATTCGGGGCGAGGGAGATGGGGTAATTAACACATCTGTCTGGCGGTGTGTCTGATAAAAAAGCTGGATGGGAGCAGTGAGTCATGCACAGGCCCATCTGAGACTTCTTAAACAACCAACAGCCTTTTCATCACACGCTATATATCTCTTAACCTTGCCTAAAGGCAAAATCAAATGCACTATGTCTATTTTTCTGTTTGTTCTGTTTTCTTGTGTGTGTGTGTTTTTGTTTTTCATTAGATGAATTGATTATGCTGATGCTAATTATAGTCTAAGCCACTGTCTGTCTCCTGTGGTTGTATCCCTCACAGGCCGCTTGTATCCCGGTGTTACTCAGTAATGGCTGGGAGTTACCTTTCTCTGATGTCATCCAGTGGAACCAGGCAGTCATCGAGGGCGACGAGAGACTGTTACTACAGGTAACAGACCTTCGGGTGAAGAACTCGAATGTCACTTTTCTGAGAAGGGAACATGAGGATGGAAGAAACTGCTAATTAAAACATGTTGGTAGTTGAAAATAATAAGCACAAGCACTTTTTCATCATGATTTTCATATGTGTGTTCTTAGATTTTTTTTGACTGTCACCATTATCTATGACATGAATATTTAATAAAACATTTCATTAAGGTTCGATTTGTTAACATTAGTTAATGTATAAGGTGTCATGAACTAACAATGAACATTCTAGAGCATTTGTTAATCTTGGTTAATGTTTATTTTATATGTCGTTTCTTTGAAATCAGCGAATCCTGAAAAAAAAGTAACAGTTTTCACGAAAATATGAAGCAGCATAACTGTTTTCATCATTGATAATAAAAAGAAATGTTTCTTGCACCAAATGAGCATATTTGAATGGCTTCTGAAAGATCATGTGACGCTGAAGACTGAAAATTCAGCTTTGCCATTAAAGGATTAAATCACACTTTAAAGATATTTTTAAAAAAGAAAAAAAGGTTATTTTAAATCATAGTAATATTTCTGAACATATCTGGTTTTTTTATCAGATAAATGCAGCCTAGGTGAGACATCTTTCAAAAACAAAAAACAAATTTTAAATCTTACCAACCCCAAATTTTTTAATAGTAGCTAAGATTAATTTATATATTTCTTTAAATAAATTGACAACTTGAAATGTTACAAATGTATTAGTATATGTAGAAATGAACATTAACCAAGATTAATTAATAAGTATGTCACAAAATGTATAATCTAACCACAACAAGGTGATCAGAACCCCTATGTGAATTAACTTTTGCTAATTCAAATGGACTTTATAGTTATTTTGTATTTATAAAGTATGTTATTACTTGAGGCTAAAAACACCGCACTAGAGCATACCATCAGGGTTTTTTTCGCGATAATGACCAACTGACTGTAAATAAATACAGTACGTTCACAAAAAGATGATGTGATATTGATTAGAGTTTGAAAGTATTGTATTACTTTACCTGTATGCCTATGTTATCTTTCCTCTAAAAACAAAACAGTCTAACAACAATGTAGCTAGGGCTGCACGATTATGACAAAAATCATAATTGTCGATTATTCCCTTGAAATTGTAATTGCGATTATGAATTACAATTATCACAATTGACATTGAATGATGTTTATACCATTGTTTGATGCAACTGCATGCCGTATTTTTATATGAAAATAAACAAGCTGAAAACACTCTAACTGAAAAACCTTTAGTGCTTTTCTATAGTATTAAGCCTTAAATGTCAAATATACATCGGATTGGTTTCTTCTTTAAATTATAGAAAAAGTTAAAATATGAATGGTATTATAATGTTGTACTAAAACTAAAACAATGGAAAAACCCTTAAGATAACATGGAGAAATAAAAAAAACATATCTTAAGCGTGCAGAATAACATAAATGGACTTTGAACGATTAATTGCCGCTTTGAACGATTACTTAATTGTGACATCCATAATTGTAATCGCGATTAGAAATTTGATTAATTGTGCAGCCCTAAATGTAGCCTACAAGACACTTGGCGTTGCAATAAGACGAACACTGCAACAATATTACAGTAATGTTCCTCTAATGTAAGTTTAAAGTAATGTAAGATTAAAGATGGCACCAATGAAACGAAAAAATATATACAGCTTTACCGCAGACGACGATGACTATATCGAGCCATTATAAGAGCTTTTAATAAGACATTTAAATAATTAGAATTGAAAAATACTTCCAGTTTTTTATAGGCATAGTTATTTTTAGCTCTACAAAACAGCTCGATATGTTGCTTGAAATGGAAAACGGGTAGGCCTATTCCTTACATTATTTTAGTGCAATGTCGTAAATCTAAACACACTGGTTAGTAGCGCACTAGTTTCTACCGTTTGCTGCACTTTGTTATTCTTCTCTCACATTCACATAAAATAAATTACTTCCGCGTTGAAAAATAAGGTGGGTAGGCCTACTGTAGCATTTCACTGCAAAACCCAATTTTGTCAGTGCTGCACATTTAAGAGTTTGTGGAGGTGGTCAACAGGTAGAAACCATAGGTTTTTATGGGAACACCAATTAGCCTCACCGGTGAGTTCTTTGTCATTTTGTTCCCTCAGGTACCTTCCACTGTGCGGGCTGTGGACATTACCAGGGTGCTGGCTCTCAGACAGCGTACACAGATGCTCTGGGAAGCCTACTTCTCCTCCGTGGATAAGATTGTACTCACCACACTGGAGGTGAGAGCTGGGTCAGCTTAGATGTGTATACAGCGGGGGATCTGACAGAGAGGAAGGTCTGTCAGGGGAAATTAAACCAGTGCAGGATGCCATACATCATTAGCACATACTTTGTCCCCTGCCCTTAGGTTAATTGGCAAATGAACTGTCAATTTTGAACAAAAGTATGGCTTTGGTCTGCCCTCTGCTGGCCAGCAGGTGAAAATGAACATCTTTAAAACCAATAGGGATTAAATGTGCTTTTGTGATTTGATGTGATTTGTTATATTTAATGCTGCCGTCTTGATGTTTGTCAGATCATAAAGGACAGAGTGTACTCGCACATCTCCAGAAATAAGTTCATGTGGAATGCCTTACCTGGAGGGCTCCTGGTTCTGCCCGAGTACTCAACGCACTTGGCACACTACCCCTTCTATTACTTAAACCTCGGTAAGCCTGTGCCAAATCTTTTTAAATATTTTGTAGTATGCATACTTATTTGGAATGGAATACTAGATGTACTTCATTCTGTGCCATACATTACACTCTTAAAAATAAAAGTTTATTATTGGCATCAATGAAACTCCAATCTTTCCATAGCACAAAATGTTCTTTATAATGGGGGGGATCATTAGATTATTAAAATATTCTTTACACTAAGAAAAAAGGTTCTTTGAGGATCCCGAAATGTTTCTATGACATCTCTGCAAATCCCCTTTTGGAACCTTTGTTTGTAAGAGTGTGTATTGCCTGAATACAAATTTGAATGGAATAACAAGCAAGCAAGCAAATAATGAATAATAACAAAATGTGCATTATGAACAAAACTAATAAATATGTTTAAACATTTGTATTCTATGTTGTTGTCACGTGGCCTCATTATTTTATATTACATGTTAGCTATTTAGCATTTTCGTCATATCTTGTGTAAATTGTGTTTTATAATATATAAATCAAACAACAAGTCAAGAAAGATGTTAATAATCATGGTTGATATTCAATCATCATTCATTCATCAGTTCATTTGTCACACTGTAAGGTTGATTGTATTGCATTATGGGATACAGTATTTCACACAGTATGCTCTGGTTGTATACTGCATATTTTGACAAATGTAGTGATTTGACTGTATGCAACCGTATGCTTACCGCAAAAAAAAATGTATTAGTAGTTTGGTAGCAGTGTTTGGTATTAACCAAAACTACAACTATTTAAAATATGTAATTGAAAATAAAATATAAATATTAGACTAAAAACTTAAAAATTAAATACAAATTAAATAAAAAAAAATGTTTTATGGAAATTATAAATGTTGTCTTGACAGGTAACAAAAATAAGTCTGAAATTACTAAAACGGAAATCAAAAAAATAAGTTAAATCTAATTAGAAATGTTAAAAACTTAAATGAATAAAAAACACAAACTGAAAAAAACACTAAAACTTAAACTAAATTTAAAATGAAAACTGAAAATGTGAAAAAAATTTATTCAAAATATTAATAAATACTATCATCTAGTGCTGTCAAACGATTAATCGCGATTAATCGCATCCAAAATAAACGTTTTTGTTTGAATAATATATGTATGTTTTCTGTGTATATTTATTGTGTATATATAAATACACACACATGTATATATTTCAGAAAAATATGTTACTTTCATATATTAAATATATTTATTTATAATATAAATTATATTAATATAAATATAGCCATGTAAATACATCTAAATAGTTTCAAAATATATACTGTATGTTTGTGTATTGTTTGATGATATGAAACATTAAACTGTGACAAACATGCAAAAAAATAAGAAATCAGGAAGGGGGCCAACACTTTTAAATATTAAAAATGAATCGCGATTTGTGTATATACATAATAAACATACACAGAACACACATATATTATTCAAACAAAAACATCTATTTTGGATGTGATTAATCGTTTGACAGCTCTACTATAATCGCATATAAATAATATTAAAATAACACCATAATAGTTTGCCATTTCAAACATTGTGCCACTGAGCACTATACTAAGTATACTAAGGCAAAGAACACTCAATCTTTTTCCTCTGCTGATGTAGGAATCAGTCCAGGTCAGGAGTTCACTGCTGTAATTCACGCCACCTCACCTCTGGTCTCCCAGTCTCAGCCAATCATGAAGCTTCTTCAGGTCGTCTCCAAATCAAAATACTGCTCACAGGTACAGTACTGCAAAGTCAGTGTTTATAAAAATATAGAGTAATATGGATTTTTACAAACTTAAAGTAACAGTTATTGCACCACTAAGGAATGACCTTTTGTTCAATGATATCAATGCTGAGCCACATCAGTTCAGTGTTAACATAGTTGGACACAGACAAAAGCCAACAAGAAGACACATCAACCAGTTTGGTGTGCATGCTGTGATAGTGTGTGTTCTTGTTTGGGTTTCTTGTCAGATCATCATCCTGTGGAACAGTGAGAAGCCGCCCCCTCACCGGAGTAAATGGCCGCCTATGCCAGTGCCCCTTCTCATCACAGATGGCAGAAGGAAAGTGAGTATTCAAGTGAGAGAACAGTCAAGTCATGTCTGTGAGCGGTGGCGAGATCTTGCGCTCTCGCTCTCTCCACCTCGTGTCTCACTCCGCTCTTTTCTCTGCCACCTTCTGTGCTCGCAGACGAGCAGCCGTTTCCTGCCTCATGCAGCTATTGAGACGGAGGCCGTTTTGAGCCTCGATGAAGACACAGTGCTGTTGACCAGCGAGGTATAGAGTTTCCTCTTCATCCTGCATGGTTTTATTTCACTTTAATCTATTTTAAATTAAACTTTCATTTATTTATTAAAATTGTGATAATTATTTTATTTATTTATTTATAGTATACATTTTATTCTTTATCCTTAAATGATTTTAAAATATAATTTTTTCAAAATGTGTGTATTTTATGTGTATTTAAACTTATATAACTTATATTTACTACTTTTATTTATAACTTTTAGATAGATAGATAGGTTTAATAAAAATTCACTGTAACTGTAAAAACAGAACTAGCCACCATGATTCTGGGGTGCTCTAGCTGGTTGCTATGGTGCAGTGTTGTTTTAAATGCTGAGCCACATCAGTTCAGTGTTAACATAGTTGGACACAGACAAAAGCCAACAAGAAGACACATCAACCAGTTTGGTGTGCATGCTGTGATAGTGTGTGTTCTTGTTTGGGTTTCTTGTCAGATCATCATCCTGTGGAACAGTGAGAAGCCGCCCCCTCACCGGAGTAAATGGCCGCCTATGCCAGTGCCCCTTCTCATCACAGATGGCAGAAGGAAAGTGAGTATTCAAGTGAGAGAACAGTCAAGTCATGTCTGTGAGCGGTGGCGAGATCTTGCGCTCTCGCTCTCTCCACCTCGTGTCTCACTCCGCTCTTTTCTCTGCCACCTTCTGTGCTCGCAGACGAGCAGCCGTTTCCTGCCTCATGCAGCTATTGAGACGGAGGCCGTTTTGAGCCTCGATGAAGACACAGTGCTGTTGACCAGCGAGGTATAGAGTTTCCTCTTCATCCTGCATGGTTTTATTTCACTTTAATCTATTTTAAATTAAACTTTCATTTATTTATTAAAATTGTGATAATTATTTTATTTATTTATTTATAGTATACATTTTATTCTTTATCCTTAAATGATTTTAAAATATAATTTTTTCAAAATGTGTGTATTTTATGTGTATTTAAACTTATATAACTTATATTTACTACTTTTATTTATAACTTTTAGATAGATAGATAGGTTTAATAAAAATTCACTGTAACTGTAAAAACAGAACTAGCCACCATGATTCTGGGGTGCTCTAGCTGGTTGCTATGGTGCAGTGTTGTTTTAGTATATTTGAGATGCTATAATAATTTTATAATAATATTTTGAATTAGTTTTGATTTTCATATTTTCAATTTTCAGTCTATGTTAGTTTAGTTTTAGTAATTGTGTTTTTATAATATTTTATATTTTTTAATGTTTATGTCGTTTTTATTCATTTTATTTCACATTTGTGTATTTTAGTACATCACGTTTAATTAAATGAAAATTAAAAATGTTTGTTTAATTTTGTTTTTATCAAATATGCATTTTATAAAATCTCTAACATCTCATGTTTTTGAAGTTTGTTTTTATCTAATATTTATATTTTTTTCAGCTGTATATACATATACACACACACTCACACACACACACATATACAGTGGTGTGAAAAAGTGGCTAAGGGTGGCCCAACCAGTTATTGAGTTTAGGGGGAAAACACTTCTTCACACAGGGCCATGTAGTTTTGGATTTTGTTTTCCCTTAATAATAAAAAAACCTTCATTTAAAAACTGCATGTTGTTATCTTTTACTAATAATTAAATTTGTTTGATGATCTGAAACATTAAAGTGTGACAAACATGCAAAAAAAATAAGAAATCAGGAAGGGGGCCAACACTTTTTCACACCACTGTATGTATATTTATAAAAAAAATTAATTTATAAATTGTACGTTTTTGAAGCTTGTGTTCATCTAATATTTATATTTTATTTCAGCTTAATTTTAATCACTGAAAACAATTTTAATAGCTTTGCTATTATAGTTGATTGGGGATTCTAGTAGATGCCCTGGGTCATAAAAAGAGTCTAAACTAAATGAAATAAATCAATTGCATTGTTTTGACACATGACAAAGCTAATTCATGTGTTTCCTCTGTAATCTGACACTTCCAGATCAATTTTGCTTTCCATGTGTGGCGAAGTTTCCCCGAGAGGATTGTTGGCTACCCTCCCAGAAGCCATTTCTGGGATCCTGTAAAGAAAGCCTGGGGTTACACCTCTAAATGGACCAACGAGTACTCCATCGTCCTCACCGGAGCGGCGTTTTATCACAGGTAATTGGCTGCAGCTGACATATCCTGACAGTGTTGACGTCTCTCACGCTTCATCAAGCTCTCTAACATGATCAGCGGAGACAGTGCTCTTGATTATGTGTTGATGTCTTTTGCGTCTCACAGGTACTACCATCACCTGTTCTCTCACTACCTGCCATCCTCTCTGCGTGCGCTAGTGGATCACACCTCTAACTGTGAGGATATCCTGATGAATTTCCTGGTCTCCTCTGTGACACACCTGCCACCGATTAAAGTAGCGCAGAGGAAGCAGTACAAAGAGATGCCCACCCTGCAGGTGAGGCCAGAGAGCCAACATTTTGCAATTCTGCTCATAAGTTTACATACCCCTTGCAGAACGTGGTTTACATACCTTTGAATCTCAAAGAGATAGTTCACCCAAACAAGGTGTTTTTAGGTCCATGTTTAATGAGTTATAAAGTGAGTGCTAACACTTGTTAGTATTATGGAAGAATGACTTGATTTGAGACTATTGTGCATTGTGTAAGTGTTTTGGTAATTTTAGTTCATTTTGGAAGTGAAATGTATTGCTGTGCCAAGCTGAAAATTGGTAATGAGAAGTGTGTCCTAGCAATTGTTTAAAAAAAAAAAAAAACTGTAGTGTGATATATTTTTGACATCTTATTTCCTGT